CAAACAAATAATGCCTATTTCGCTTTGAAGAGTTCACAAAATCTCTGTACGCCCTGGTAAATAAACAAAGTCATAAAAGCCTATTCCAATTTGAAAGAGTTACTTACCCCATGTGTTCATGTGATTAATTATCTTTAAACTATCAACATGACTTTCATAATAAACTCGTCACTATCGCTGAACCAAGCTAACGAGTGAAATAGAGACGTGACCCCTTTAAGAATGAGCGCTTGACATGCTTAGTAATTACTCCTCACGTGAATAACCTGCGCATAGTTTTACAACTTGTATGTTGTCTAGTTTAAAAATGTAAATCTGATTAACGCAATAATACACTGAAATCAGAGTGAAGATCGTTTACTTATCTAGCTGTTGAGTTTCAGAGAAACTCTGAAAGCGTGCTGCAGGAATCTAAGTACTAGTATGTAATCAATAAGTACTAGTATCTAATGAATAAGTACTAGTATCTAATGAATAAGTACTAGTACCTAATAAATAAGCACTAGTATCTAATGAATAAGTACTAGTAACTTTACAAAAGACACTAGTACCTAAAGAATAAACACTAGTACCTAAAGAATAAGCACTAGTAGCTAAAGAATAAGCACTAGTACCTAATGAATAAGTACTAGTACTTAATGGAAAAGATACTAGTATCTAAAAAATAGGTACTAGTACCATGAAAATAGATACTAGTACGGCTTATAGATTAAATGTTACAATGGCTTTCCATATCAGTTAAGTTAACCCGTCAGCCTGCGCCATCTGTTTCAGGACTGAACTATATATTTCACCCAAAAATGAAAATTCTGCCATTAATTACTTACCCTCATGTTGTTGCAAACCCGTAAGACCTTCATTCATCTTCAGAACACAAATTAAGATATTTTTGATGAAATCCGAGAGCTTTCTGACCCTGACCCTGACATTAAAATAGTCCATGTGACATTAGTGGTTCAACTGTAATTTTATGTAGCTATGAGAATACTTTTTTTGAGCTACGAAAACAAAAATAACTTTATTCAACAATTTCTTCAATTCTGTGTAAGTCTTCGACACGCGTTCACGACAGTACCATGTCTAAATACTATGATCGTGTCATGTCCTGTCTACTGAGATCTTCATATGATTGATTTTCGAAAGTAGCATTGATGTGACATTTGCTAGCTATGATGTGCATTCAGTTCCGTGACAGTTGAGCTAAAAAATAAAAAAAGGCATTTAAAAATCGCAGGTGTGGTCAGTTGGTGTGCAAATGTATGCTTAACAATTAACAATTAAATGAAATAATTTTTTTCAACTTTTGATTTAATTCCTAGCAAGAAAGTAACACTGTAGTAAATGAATGTTTGTTAATTATCACTAAAGCTCTCTCTGTTTATTATTAGACCATCAGAAGCCAGTCCGAAATCAGTTTTGTGAGGTACATTTGTGTGCAATTGCTGCCTGCAAAGTCATTGCCAATGCCGACAGTGAGGCAACAAGTCAGCTCCCTAAGCTTTCTTATGAATTCAGACATACTACTCAATCCTCATCCAATTTTCGTCAACTATAAAGTAGGTTAATTTCAGATTCATATTCATATGCAGAAAATCCTACAGAAAGAGTCTACTGAAAAATCACTACCACTAATGCACAGACATGTCTGGAACATGCAAAGACAGATGGCAGGGATGAGTGATACGAACAGTGAAAAGCCTATTCAAATTCGAGGACTGGAACTAAGTGTCATAGCCTTTATCCATTTTTTTTTCTAGTGGAAGAAAGTTTTCACCAAAGTCTGTTTAGCTGGAGTTGTCTGAATGGTGCATTTTTTGCGTGGTTGGAATAGCTGATGGAAGTTGGACTGAGAATTTTTTGGCAAACAGTGCCAAAAAGGTACATTTGTGTGCAATTGCTGCCTGCAAAGTCATTGCCAATGCCGACAGTGAGGCAACAAGTCAGCTCCCTAAGCTTTCTTATGAATTCAGACATACTACTCAATCCTCATCCAATTTTCGTCAACTATAAAGTAGGTTCATTTCAGATTCATATTCATATGCAGAGAATCCTACAGAAAGAGTCTACTGAAAAATCACTACCACTAATGCAGACATGTCTGGAACATGCAAAGACAGATGGCAGGGATGAGTGATACGAACAGTGAAAAGCCTATTCAAATTCGAGGACTGGAACTAAGTGTCATAGCCTTTATCCATTTTTTTTTCTAGTGGAAGAAAGTTTTCACCAAAGTCTGTTTAGCTGGAGTTGTCTGAATGGTGCATTTTTTGCGTGGTTGGAATAGCTGATGGTAGTTGGACTGAGAATTTTTTGGCAAACAGTGCCAAAAAGTCTGGAAATCGCTTTAGGGAGTTGAGAAGACTAAACTCATTTACAGGCATACATCTCCAACTAGTGCCATTCTGCCTGACTGTGTGTGTGTGTATTAAGAGCGTGCTGGTATTTAAACGTGACCCACATCGCTCACGATTGCTCTCATATTCAGTGTGTATTGAAACGCTAGACTGATTTCTTCAGGATGGACATTTACTGTGGTCTTCATGTTTTATTTGGGGAATGAGTCCTCCTTCCCCTCTCTGAACTTTTCTAGCTACCTGTTATGAAACATAAATAACTCAAAAGACACAAAGTAAAACAAATCCTGAATAAGGTGTTTCAATGGAGAAGTTTGCTTTCAGCACTGATGGGAAAAGAGATGGTTGTGCCTTCAACCATCCCTTCATCTGTCTCTCTTTTTCTCTCACTCATTCCTCTCTCCTTTCCAAAATTCTGGGCTTTTAGCCAGACACCCTAAAAATAAAGACATGAGAAGAATTTAATCCAGGTCAAGAGACTGAATGAAAGCTGGGTAAAGATTAAAGTCCATTTCCAAACAATAACATCTCAGGAGTAAGACAACAATTCCAGACCTACTGCCTTTTATTTGAGACTGTCCTCAAGTCTCGCTCCCTTCTTCTTGAATGGTTCTGAAAATTGATTTTTTTGCTTGGTTCATATCACTTTACACAGTAGCTGGGCCACTGCGGAATTCACCATGCCAAATGTAATTTCAGGAAGAGAGAGGTCTGTTTGTGTGGAGAGAGAAGTACAGAGGCACTTCTGTTCTCGGCCTCGGGCGTTCAGTAAAGGGTTTTGAGGGTTTGGGCTCAGGGAATAGCCACTATTCGTTTTCAAAAGATAAACTGTAAAGTGGAAACTGAACATGGGTGATTTGTTTCTATAAGAGCATTAGCATGGCCACAGCCGCTAGGTGCAGACATGTCATCTGGTGTAATATGTGACTGAGTGACACCGTACATGGACTGAAGCTTGTCAACTGCTGTTGGTTAAATATTATAAGTGCAGAAAATGTAATTTAAAGCATATGATACAAAGTCTAAGCAGTCTACCTTCTACCAGTTAGACCGAGTGATGAACAAACACAACTTTAAACAAGATTGAGCTACTTTTTTGTTCCATAAAGTGGTTCAAGTTTTAGATGGATGGTTGGCATCATGTTTTACTTAGATGCAGCATATATATCCAAATCTGTGTTTGTTATAAAAAAGCTTTTGAAAAAAACACAGCTTGCTTTCCATCCTTAAAGGAATAGTTCACCCAAAAATTAAAATTTGCTGAAAATGTACTCCTTTCAGGCCATCCAAGATGTAGATGAGTTTGTATCTTCATCTGAACATATTTGGAAAAAATTAGCATCACTTGCTCACTAATGGATCCTCTGTAGTGAATGGGTGCCGTCAAAATGAGAGTTAACATCACAGTTAAAAACAATCACAGTAATTCACAAATAATTCACATGACTCCCATCCATCAATTAACATCAGCTCAACATTGTGTGTTTGTAATAATCAAATTCATTGCTGGCTCCATCCATAATAGTGCTTTCTCGAGTGAAAAAGTTGTCTTATCTGAATCAGGAGAGAAATATACACATCAAGCAACATTTACAAACGAAAACGGTTATAAACAAATATGATGGTTGATTTTGATGAAATGACAACAGGGGGTGGACTCATTTTTCAGATTATGAACTTGTACTTTGACCAGAAGCAGTGGTTTAAAGGTAAATCCTTAATGATGGACTCTCATTCTGATGGCACCCATTCACTGCAGAGGATCTACTGGTGAGCAAATGATGTAACGCTTAATCTCTCCAAATGCATACCTGTCAACCCTCCCGTTTTTCCCGGGATTCTCCCGTATTTTACCATTCTATCCCGCTATCATTCCATTTAAATATTTTCCCGTATTTCTCCCGTATTTTTAATCTTTCTATTAAAAAAAGTGGGCATATTTTTTAAGTTTGCTACATTCGCTTCCGGTAAAACACCCGTAATTTGTATGGGCCAAACCATATTATATGAATAATCACGACAACAAATTCCAAGGTTGTCCAGTTGCCAGATCTGGTATGAAACGCATCTTTAAGCAGAAAACAGCAGTTGTAAATGTGAACTGGTGGATCAACAAGATAATGAATTATAAAACTCTAAAGATATAGCCTACACTAAGATATATTTATGTTACTAAATGAATATAATTGTTTGATAATAATTGTTTAAATTAATATAAAAATAATATAATATAACAAATTTTACTTTTGACTCCGCCCCCCCTCCCGTATTTTGGTACCCAAATGTTGACAGGTATGCCAAATGTGTTCTGATGAAGAAGCAAACTCATCATCCAAGTACATTTTCATTTGGTACGCAACTATTCAACTATTCCTATAATTGTCCTTCGGAAAAAGAAAGTAGTGTGTATTAGTGTACATAATAGCCTAAAAAGCCATGTAAAATGTTACTGAAATACTAACTTGTCAGTGGCATCTAGAGAGGGAGTGTGTATTCATTAGCCTTCACAGCAGGTCAAAGTCAAGATGTTTGAGTGAAATGGTAAAATACTGCTCTCTTGTGGACGTTTTCTACTCTAGAATGCTGAAAATACTATATTTAGTCGTGAAATGGTGCTTGTTTCAAAGGTTAGAACACTAGTGAATATAATTGCCGGCTGGATTAGCACTGAGCATTGATTTGATGTTGCTGTGAACTCTCAAAATAATTTGTACAACTGCCTTAAATTAGCTGAAATTGTATTTAAAGTGGGCAGCAGGAGAGATCTGACTATGAAGGACATGTCTGTTTTGTGTTTTCCGAAAACGCAGAGGCTTCACTCAAGCAAACTGGTTTTGTTGTGGAATGTTCCTCTTGGTGGAGTTCCAGTCTGCACTTGAAGGCTGTTATAATTTGACTAATCCAGGAGATTATATCTTGGCAAGCAGAAACCCCTCATGTTCTCATGATCAGACACTAACCAAAACAAGATTTCTATTGTGTATAGTGAAAAAATAGATAACATTAACTTGGCATATTAAATAGTTATGAACAGTTATGGTGTCCAGGAATACAACTCCTTTTCAAGTTCCCCTGTAGTCAAAAATTGTATCCTTTAAAACTCATCTTTGATCATCAAAATGACATATTTAAACGTTTTTTCTTGTGAAAATAATTTTCTCATGCCTTAAAATAGCTTGAATGCAACTCTACACCCTTGCCTCATTTACTATACGCGGACTTATGAATACGCAAATCAGCCCCGCCTCCACTCAGTCACACACCAGCCAGCCATGAGCCAGCGCCTAGGGATGGGCGATACCACTTATTTTGTTTTCGATACGATACCGATATTTTTCAAGGCAGTATCGTCGATATCGATACCGATTCAATACTTCTGAACTAAACTTTTAAATTATGAAATTTATTAAATTAAATTACTAGGAGTAAAATGGGTAATGATAAGCACTTAACTTTATGTTTAAAACACATTTTAACATTCAATATGCCTTAATTGTAACTTATTAGGTTATATTTTTGTTTACACATGGTTCAAATATACAAATACTACAGTTGAACTATAAATCTA